TTCCCAACATTTTTTATTAATAATTTAAGCCAGATTTTGATATCTGTTTTCCGTATTTTTACATTATTCACTTTTTGCGTCGGATTTGTTTTGCCGGGTTGATAAAAAATTTGTTCATTCTTATTGGTTTGCGCCACTCGGAAGGACGTTCTTATTGGATTACGCCACATAACACTCACATGATCGAGGAATTTTTCTGCCACGACTAGTCTACTATTAACTTTTATAAGAATTTGTAGCTACCTTGATAAGCAACTTGAAATACAACACGTAGAAGCTTACTGAAATTCACTGGAATTTGAGTTCTCAATGAAAACCAGTCTACTTCTACCTGTGGAGGCTCTATGGTTCTTTGTTTTTTACCACAACGATGATTAAATCTGCTGATAAGAATGTCACTGAAAAATGACCAAAATTGCAACCACCTACAACAACATGCATCCGATGTCTTAAAAGAAGAGCTCTTATGATTTACACACACTAAAATAGGATTTCTTTCTTCTTTAATACACACACGAAAGTCAAAATAATAATTTCACATGTTTGAAATAAAATAATATACGCAGATTTACGTATGAATAACAATCGACATCATTCAAGTTTTAAATATATCGATATGCACAACACATCACTAAAACCATTGTATAGAATGAACTCAAAGGTGGATTCTAATACTCATGATTGTCTCCTTATCAAAAAAGCATGATTACTGCTATGCGTGTGAAAATCATAACAAACGAATTTATAAAGCTGAATGATTAATTAAATCATCGTTATTGTACTTTTGAATGGATCCCCTCTGGAAAGATTTACCAATGTTGAATATCTTGCAAAAGGAATTTATGATTGACTGAAATGTGGGATCATGAAGAAAGTAAGCTTAAACGATCTGGAGAGTTTCGAGTTGTGTTGAAATCATTACATGATTCAAAGCAAATTACATCCGAGTTTATAAACGAGGTAAAATGAACTCCTTTTAAAGCGGTTTTTCAATCTAATTATTTTTTAAAATGCTCTCTTACATACAATAGAATAAGAAATTATACAAATAGTGATTAATAAATCTCTTCGTAACAATAACCAACAAGTCAAACATTAATTTTATTTCTTAATATTTAATGATAATTTTGTTCTATCTTAATCACGTGACAAAAACTTTTATGATGTAAGTTTTACGTGTTCATGTAGGGTATTGACACATGCAATGTACGTAATGCATGGGATGAAACGAAATTCCCCACTCCCCCCGTCGTCACAAATAAATTTCCATGCATTCAAATGCTATCGCTATTTACCAAAAGAGATAAGATTATTGCGATTTTAGCAAATAATAAATACGTAGATAACGATAACAACCAAGACAGGATTTATTCTTAAAGTTCCCAAGAATATTATGATGATGTGATGATGATGGTGGAAATCGACGACGACAATGGTGTTATTGAAAGATAAAATTAGTAGGTGAGACAATACGAATCAAGACCCTTTTTTCTGTGTTATTTACTATCGCTATTACATGTATATATTGCTGTGTGGTACAAAAAGGGAAACAACCAAAACAATGATTTTCAACAAACTTTGAAGATACACAGCCGGACCTTCGATTTGACGCCATATTAGTGAGCAACAGTTGTAGAATATGATGCAGCGGAGATCTACGCATAACGATACAAATTGCCTAAAGTCATTACATACGTACGTAGTATTTTTTAATCATATTTCTTCACAAATTTGAAATAAATTACCCTGGGAAATATTTTTTACTGTCAGGGTTCTTTTTCATCGCTATACGTGTATTATTATCCAGTATTACAAAAGCACGCGCACATACACCCACAGATAACGATAAACAAACTTTTGTTGCTCGTACTAATTAGATTATATTACAGTACACAAGAGAGAAAGAGAGAAATTACACAATAATAATATCACTGAATCGAATAATTAAGATACTATAACACATAATAATACTAGCATACACAAAAATAAATGCTGCTGACTTATCTAATTATCATCTCCTTTGCCTACTAAGAATACGTACTTCATTATTAACTTTTGGTGGTTTTTTTGAAAATGTCTTACGATACAGAAATCGAACGATTATCAACTTTGGTGGGAAATTGCTTTGATAAACTTTCAAAATATAATAATGTAAGTGAAAGATTCGAAAAAAGAAGACAGCATACATCGTCATCAAAGACAACGAAAACTACAATTCCAAGAAATCCTCGACGATTACAACAAACATCGAATGGGAATAAAGAACCTTCAACACCAGCAGCAGCACCAACACCATTAAATAATCCTCCTCTGCCTCCTAATAACGATGATAGAGATGCTCAAAAATTTAGCATTTTTCGAAATTCAATAACATCAATACAATCGAAATTCAGTCTAAATTGGAATAAAAAACAAAACAACCGCAACTCCAATCACGAAGAAAACGACACAAATAAATCAAAGCGAAAAGAAAAACCAGAAAATCACACAAGAAAGATGGCGTATCATTTATTACGTCGATACAAACATCATTTCGCCTCATTAGAGACATTTTTCACCGCTTACATTACAAAACTCGAACAAAAGTATACAAAGAATACTACTTTTCCACCCGTTTGGGAAACTCCAGATATTCCCATGCATCCATCGACTGAAAAACAGCTGGTCGCGGAATTTGATCAATATTCACATACTGTATTAGCAGTCGATGGAATTTATTGGCGAGCTGATAGTTTACGACAACATGCTTTTTTTGTCAAAAGGAATGGGAAATGGTTTGTTGAGGGAATCAATCGTATCCAAGCGAGAGCATTTGATTATCTTGCACAATATGAAAGGATTATTGCTTTGGCACCTGAAGGAGCAAGTAGAGTTTTATTAATGCCATTGAAGATGCGCGAAAAGATGCAAGCAAAACGGGAAGGAAAATCTGTTAAACACTTTTTTTGCTTTAGATCTGAAAATGCACACTTAAATTTATAATTCGAACGGCACACTCTTAGACGAAAAGTTTTTAAATAGATGTAAATAACAGAAATATTTAGAATCTAAAAATAAAATAGGCGGTGGTAAATATAAAACAACTTACGGTAAAAGCAATCAAAATTTACCTAGAAAATGAACGCTAGAAATAAAACAATTCATCACCATTTTTCTTGTCAATTTTTAGTCAAAGTATTTTTTTTACGAAAGTTTGAATCATGATCTTGGTATATTTCCTCGATAGCATTCAACTATTAATAATAAAACATTGAAGAAAAACAGGCATATGATGGTGATTAGGAAATACATATACGTACGTATACGCAAGAAGTCATGTACATGTACATGTACTAGGATATTTAATGCACGGAGAAAAAATTATTTTGATGCATGCAGAAAACGACATTTAATTAATGCATCAGATTCTCATCCTTGAAAAATGCATGCTGCAAAATATTGACACTACTTTTCGGAGTTACCAAGATCTGGAGACGATCGGCCGGTTATACCGCCAAGGTAAATTCACGTACACGTGAATAGGATCGGGTGTCAAGTAATTTATATATCGATATTTTGTATATATTAATATGTGAACTTTAACGTTAAACATTTTGTGATAACGATAATGACAATGATGAGTTTTCGAAAATCCAATTGACACTCTCAAATCACGTGAGATTAAGAAATCTGATTGGTGCATCCAAGATGACATCAAATTCCCAAGGTTTTCGTTAATTAAAGGTCATGCGGGTGGTTTCTGCACATTGAAAGGAAAATACATGTATAACGGGGAACCGCAAATGTGTTTTGCAGAAATTTTTGCATCAATCACGTGTAATTTTATATAGCTCGTTAAGCTATTTGAAGCAAATAAATCTTTGAGCAGAATTATCTTAATAGGCAATTCTTTGATAATGCTTTGAATTACGTTATAAATTCCTCTCTTCTTTCACGTGATTACACGTCCTCGCGTTTATTCTTTCTCTTCAAACTAAAAGAATGGGAAGACCGACCAGAATGCAGAATTTATAAAAAATTGCTAAATACTCAAAAAAAAGAAAGCATTCAAAAAATGATTTCTTATCAATCGTTCTCAGAAAACTTTGACGAGTCAGATTATATGATATTCTCATAAGAAATATGAGAGAGCAGCCATCTTCAAATCGTCCACACATAAATCACGAATAACAAAATATTGTCAGCACAAGAAAGCAAAAGAGAAGGCAGCATAAAAAATGGAACAACGATATTTTAAAGGAATCTCATTCTTATGAAAACACTGATTCCACCTTAATTTTTTGCAGTGTGATTCAACAAATAGTATGAAAACTAAAAACAAATACCGATAGCTTTTTATTTATCTTATCTAATATGTTTATTATTGTTAGTACGTATGCGGTTAATATAATTCTTGAGCATCAACATTTCCTATCTCATTATGCGTGCATTTACTATAGCACGACCATAATAAAGCGATTATTAAAATGGAATTTATTTATTCACACTTCAAGATATATCGATAGACATGTAGTTTGATAGTCACGAACGGCCTGATGTGATCGTGTATAGAAAATTTCTTGGAAGATATGGCATGGCATGGTAAATCATTTATTTTTATTTTAGAAAAAATACTTTGAATATTGCAACACTAATAATTTTTTATTTTTAGTTTTCAGAACTTTATGTCTCGTTTTGTTGGTGATGAAACGGAAATAAGAATTGATCACAAGCTTAATGCCAACGAACGCATCCACATTCTTGTAACTCATGATGAGACCACCTTTGAATCAACTGATGGGAGAGAAACAGGATGGCATCACGTAGAAGAACTACCGAGAAAAAGAGTCGTGGTCGTTTAATTCATGTCAGTGACTTTATTACGGATATAATTGCTACTATATCACATGAAGCTCACGTAATGATCGATTCAGAAAAAATTATGATGGATGGTGAATATTATTTTTTGCGAAATTATCTAATGGAAAATTTATTCAATAGATTACCGAATGTGCTATTCTGATCTTATTACAGTTTTTGCTTTTGACAGCATTTATCAACTGCCTTAGATGTTTACACGTCTTTAATGAATCTTGATGATGGAGGAAAGCAATCCAGTCAAACAATGTCATAGTTCGAAAAGAATTTAGCATACCGATCCCCTTGTGTCCAGTCAACTAGATAGTGTCATATCCGAACCGGGTTGTTTATTTCCTGCTTAAGAGCAAATAAAAGAGCAGAATAATCTTTCCGAGCTTTGTTGCTAGTATCTGTACGAGGGCTAATTGGTGTCATAACTTGAGCTTAAAGAGCGCGACATTCCCTCAAATGGATAATACTACTACATGTATGTCATGTAAATCTTGATTTTCATCATGACATAGATATGCGACCTATAATTGTAGACGTGTGTGTTAATTTTTCATCCAATAAATTCATATTACAACATGCATTTGATGTATTTAAAAAAGAGCCTTTTATTATTTACACACATATCTAAATAAATAACTTTACTCTTCTGGTTATAATGTACGTCACCTAATCGAATATTGTAGAAATAACATACATACATAGCATTGATACAGAAGTTGATTTAAATACAAATGTTTTTTAACAATTGACTTTTACCATCATTTCAAAGTTTTAAATAAAACACCATTTTATATATGAATATTTCAAATATGCATGATTGTATAATTATTACTGCTATAGATGTTTTGAATATCACAAACGAATTTATGAAGCTGAATGGTCTATTGAAAATAAAAGAAAGTGCAAAAATTAAAACATTCAGAAGATCTTTCGAATGAATCCCGTTTACCAATGGTGAATATCTTGCAAATGGAGGTTTTGAGCAATTCTAAAACATCGTTGTACTACCCTACAAAAAAAAAGCAAACACGTAAGATCCACGGAAATTTCAAGGAATAGTACGAAATGGCACGGCAAGCACGGGAACGTGACAAATTCCGTATACATAAACATGTTTTTGGTGCAGTTTTTTTTAGCGCGGAACTACACGTAAAGCACAGACTATCAAATTGTGCCATTTCCAAGTTGAAAAATCATGCCCAAATCGTGTTTATGTAAACGGAATTTGTTGCATTTCCCGTGCTTGTACATACCATACCGTGCCATTTTGTACCATTCCTTACAATTTTACGTGCTTACCTTATTTTTATAGGGCTATGACAGGAAGTGGGTCATGGAGAGAATAATTTTAAACAATCTAAAGGATACAATGAAGTTGTGTTAAATCATTTCGTAATTCGAAGCAAATTATGTAACGAGGTAATGTAAGCATAATTTTTTTTGTTTTCAAAGATATTAATTCTAACTATGAAAAATTGACTTAGAATGAAAAGTTAAATCATTTATTTTATATTATCTGGGGTTGAATATACAGTCAGAGCTGGTTACAATAACATTCCATTCTTTATAATACATGTAACATGATTTGCTTGGTGCAAAAAAACTTTTTTATATTAATTATTATTGGATAAAGTAACATTAATAGTATTTGGATATAATAACATCACCAAAACCTTTCCCCCGATCATGTTACTGCAACCAGAGTTGACTTTAGTTCTCCAACCGGGTCGGGTTGGGGTCAAACCCGACCCGAAATATTTCGGGTCAGCCTAAAAATCGTTGTTTCTCGTTCAAAACTTTGTGGATATCTACACAATTACATTACGAACAACTCTACTTAGGACAAAAATACAAGTGTCTTAGTAAAAATAAATGTTATCAACGAAAACTACTTTGCGATTTTCGGGTGAAATCCGACCCGAACCCGACCCGTAATTATCGGCTCGGGTTGACCTCAAACCTGACCCGACTTGACCCGAACAGAGCTTTAGTTGACTGTAATAACATTGCCAAACCCTCTTTCCCGATCATGTTACTATAACTGTACTAGTAATGTTATTTTATCCAATAATAATTAATATAAAAAACTTTTTTGTACTAAACAAATCATGTTACTACGTATAACCAGCATGTTATTATAAATAATGTTATTATAGCTAGCTTTGACTGTATTTGATATCTATAAAAGAATACAATGATATTGAATAACTGTAAAATTTTCATTATTAGACGTTGATTGAATAATTACGTTATGATAAAGAGTCCAATCATAACATTTGGCAAGCTCACCAGGGGGATTCATCCAAGAAGAGGTGAATCTTAAAGTACTGCAAACCAAGAAGAGCTAGAAACAAAAGAAAAATAACAGTAACAATCAAGTAATTTATTTTCTGGAAGAATAAAGGTAAATTTGTCAAATCGCGTCATCGATTTTTTTGCAGATTCCTAAAGCAGAATCTCATCAACAAACTAAAAATATCAATATTTTGTCAACTCATAAATCAACATTCAAATATTTTGATATCATCTAAAAAATCTGAAAAAATTATGTATTAAAATATAATGTAGATATGAATATTATAATACAGTTTAAATTATAATGCATTACTAATATCTTATTATGTAAATTATTAGTAATGTGTCATTTTAGGTAGTGTGTCATAATACTCATGTCTACCTTATAATATTATTTTTATTTTAAAGTTAAATAAAAAATATTTATTAATAAATTAAAAGTTTTATTTTGTATTATTTTTGATTGTTACTATATATTAAATATAAATTATTATTTATATTTTTTTGTATAAAATTAAAATCTATATTTTATTATATTTTATTAGTAATTTTGAAATATATTATTTTTATAAGCTATTATAAATAATAATATTTTAAAAAAATTATATAAAATAGTTTATTTACTAAAATTAAAAAATTATTTATATTTATATTTAAAATTTACTTAAAAATAAATACAAAAATTTAATTTAATTAAATAAATTAAATAAAAAATTAGAAATTTTAATTTATAACTAAAATAAATATTCAAAAAATATAAATAAAAATAGATTTAACTTTTTAATTAAACTAATTGTAATATATATTCTTATACTATATTATCAGAAATTGAAAAAAAATTGTAAAATTGACATTATTGCTTTATATTAAAATTTGTTATTTTATTAATTAATATTTTTTATATTTATACTAAAATAATAATGATAACTTATATTTTTAATATATATTCTTCTAGAATTTTTTAGAATTTTTAGAATTTTCTATTTACTTGTAAACATGGAAAAAAATTTTTATAATTAAAATTGCAATTTTTTCAATTTTAATTATAAAAAATTTTTTTATGTTTACAAGTAAACAGAAAATTCTAAAAAATTCTAGAATATTCTAGAAGAATATATATTAAAATTATAGGTTATCATCTTTATTTTAATATAAAAATAAAAAATATTTATTAATAAAATAACAAATTTTAATATAAAGCAATAATGTTAATTTTACTATATTTTTTTAATTTCCAGTAATATAGTGTAGGGATGTATATATATAAGTAAATAAATAAAAGAATTGAAGTTAAAAAGATTATTCAAGTTAATAAAAATAGTTTGTTTAAATTTTAATTATTTATTATTTAAATATTATTTTTAAAAATCATTATATAAAATCATGTAAATTATTCTTATTTTAATTTTTTGATTTCTAAATTTGTTTTTGTGTAATGCAAAATATTTAACAATTACTAATTGTATTAAATGATATATGTATTTAGACAAAGCAATAGACTTTATCATTATTTCATAAATAAGTTCAAAAAAATAAAAGAAAACAAATAAGAAAAATAAAGATTGTTAGCATAAGATTTTTGTAAACAAAATTATAATTTGCTTATCACTTAAACAGTAAATGTTCACAGACAAATTTGCCTGCTAATTTTTGTATTTTTAATAATTTAATAATTTTATTTATTTTTAAATAATTTATATCAACTTGAACAAATTTAAAAAAACTCTGTTTAATTTAATATAAAAAGATTTTATTAATTGGAATCAAGCAAATTTGCAAGAGTCAAAGGGAGATTTTGCTTGAAGCTATAAGCAAAATATTATCACTATTGTCTTTATTAATAATGAAATTTTGTTCCGTTTACTTGATTCTAATTCTGTTGATAAACCTGATTTTTTTAAAATTTCTACCACTGTGGAGGGAGTTAACTGTGAAAAACACTTGGAATTTACATTTTATGGCAACGGTGAATTTAAACTTACAATTATTCAGGAAATTAATTTTCAAATTACATATTAATATCGATATGTGCTACATGTATATCCATTTATCAAACATGTACAAGGAATTCTCTGGTTGGTAAAATGGTGCTTCATGTCCTGCATCATAAATACGAACAAACGATAGTCCATGTGACCTTGTATACTGGCCAGCTCGTTTACCATTTACTGTCCATTCTTTAATTGGTGTCTTTTTGAAGTGTCTTGCGTGTTTCCAGTTTAATTCGCGTGCCAATTCGTATCCGCCATACCTAATTTTATTAGTAAAAAATAAACATTATATGGGGAAGAATAAATTTAATATAAAATAAAAACCTATTTACCAATT